CACTCACCCAACCACTCACCCACTCACTCACCCACTCACTCACCCACTCACTCACCCACTCACCCACCCACTCACCCACCCACTCACCCACCCACTCACCCACCCACTCACCCACCCACTCACCCACCCACTCACCCACCCACTCACCCACCCACTCACCCACTCATTCACCCAACCACTCACTCACCCACCCACACACTCACCCACCCACACACACCTACACACCCACCCACACGTCCATCGTAAACCCCACCCACATACTCACCCACTCACCCACTCCCCCACCCACACACATCACTACCATCAGCTCCACCATCAGCTCCACCATCACCACCACCACCATCACCACCATCATCACCACCACCATCACCACCATCACCACCATCACCACCACCATCACCACCATTATCACCATCATCTTCATCATCACCACCATCACCATCACCACCATCACCATCACCACCATCACCACCATCACCACCATCACCACCACCACCACCATCACCACCATCACCACCACCACCATCACCACCATCACCACCACCATCACCATCATCACCATCACCACCACCATCACCATCATCATCACCACCACCATCACAACCATCACAACCATCACCACCATCACCACCACCATCACCACCACCATCACCATCATCACCACCATCACCATCATCACCACCACCATCATCACCATCACCACCACCATCACCACCATCACCACCATCACCACCGTCATCATCACCATCACCACCACCATCACCACCACCATCACCACCACCATCACCACCACCATCACCACCACCACCATCACGACCACCACCACCATCATCACCACCACCATCACCACCATCATCACTACCACCACCACCACCATCATAACCATCACCACCACCATCACCACCACCATCACCACGGCAAGAACTATTCTTTCCACAACAATATCCAAGACTGATCGATTTAGCGATAATAAATAACTGCACAACAATACAAATACATTACACGATCGATTCACTGCGCGAGAGAGGGAGGGGAGGGGGAGGGGCGGGGGAGGGGCGAGGGAGGGGTGAGGGGAGGGAGGGGTGAGAGGAGGGAGGGGGAGGGGCGAGGGGAGGGGAAGCGTGGGGAGGGAGGGGGAGGGGCGGGAGGAGGGAGGGGCAGGGGAGGGGAGGGGAGGGAGGGGGAGGGGCGGGAAGAGGGAGGGGGAGGGGCGAGGGGGGAGGGGCGATGGGAGGGAGTGGGAGGGAGGGGCGAGGGGAGGGAGGGGGAGGGGTCCAGTTTCCAGTGTCATTTTGGCGCAGCGAGCTTTTGTATAATTATTAAGTGCGTTGGTGAATGTTGTACCGGTTAAACCCCGTTGAATGTGGCTGATAAGGAGGAAAAAGACACACGGGCAAGCGACGCGTCTACTGTTTCTGCCATTTATGGGAGAATAAAAGGTATCCGATTTGCGAGGCCGGGGTTTTCCAGGAGCGCATCCGTGACATTGTGAAAGCAGCCGGGACGCGCCTGTGACGTCATATCCGGGCGGCGCGGAAGCCACCTACTTTTGGTTCTCCTTAGACTTGACCAAATACCCGTTGGGATATAATTTTTTTGTTATTCCGAGAGAAAGTATTGGGCTAGGGTGTTTGAAGGGCCCGCCGCCCCCTCCCTTTGAGACGTCGCGCGCGTGCGCGGGTGCAATACGTGCCCCAGCGGCGCGTGGAGCTGCAATTCGGCCGAGTGCCCTGGCACGTGCCGCATGTACGGGGACAGCCACTACGTCACCTTCGACGGCAAGAGGTTCGTCTTCGACGGGAACTGCGACTCCAGCATCGTGCAGGTGGGCACCAGAACGGACGCGCCCTGCTCACGCACGCCACGGACTAACGTCGGGCGAGTGAATTCATTAATTCATAATTAATCCGTAACAATAATTTGTGACTATCAGGCGCCTTTCGCGATAAAATCTCAAGGCGCCACGCACAAAGAAGAATAAGCATGAACCGGGGGGGGGGGGGCAGAAGAAGAGCCAGAGGATCAAAGTGCATGAGAGGAAACTGGTTTTGGTGATATGTGTTTTAGTCGGGACTTACAAATATCGACATTTCTACATGTATGTTGAACTTCTTTCGCACCGTACTTAGCCAACCGTGCTAATCGGAGGTGCAGGGTAAGGACAACAAACTAAACACAACAAGCAGTTCAAAAGAAATGTAGTATAGTGGTGTAGTGTATAGTAGTGTATAGTGTAGCGTATAGTGGTGTAGTGTATAGTAGTGTTTAGTAGTGTAGTGTATAGTAGTGTAGCGTATAGTGTAGTGTATTACATAGTGTAAAGTGTAGTATAGTGGTGTAGTGTATAGTAGTGTAGTGTGTAGTGTAGTGTATAGTAGTGTTTAGTGTAGTGTATTGTAGTGTAGTGTATAGTAGTGTAATGTTTAGCAGTGTAGTGTATAGCGTAGTGTATAGTAGTGTCGTGTATAGTGGTGTAGTGTATAGTAGTGTAGTGTATAGTAGTGTAGTATATAGTGTAGTGTATAGTAGTGTAGTATATAGTGTAGTGTAGTACATAGCGTAAAGTGTAGTATAGTGGTGTAGTGTATAGTAGTGTTTAGTGTAGTGTATAGTAGTGTAGTGTTTAGTAGTGTAGTGTATAGTAGTGTAGTGTATCGTGTAGTGTATAGTAGTGTAGTATATAGTGTAGTGTAGTACATAGTGTAAAGTGTAGTATAGTTGTGTAGTGTATAGCAGTGTTAAGTGTAGTGTATAGTAGTGTAGTGTTTAGTAGTGTAGTGTATAGTAGTGGAGTGTATAGTGTAGTGAATAATAGTGTAGTATATAGTGTAGTGTAGTATGTAGTGTAGTATATAATGTAGTGTAGTACATAGTGTAAAGTGTAGTATGTAGTGTAGTATATAGTGTAGTACATAGTGTAAAGTGTAGTATGTAGTGTAGTGTATAGTGTAAAGTGTAGTATAGTAGTGTAGTGTATAGCAGTGTAGTACAGTAGTGTATAGTGTAGTATATAGTGTAGTATGTAGTGTAGTATACTAGTGTAGTGTATAATAGTACAAGGCAGTGTGTACTGGTAGTATAAGGTAGTGTATACTGTATTGATGTATAGTAGTGTATAGTAGTGTAGTGTATAGTAGTGTATAGTATAGTGTGTAGTGTAGTGTATAGTGGTGTATAGTAATGTTTACTGTATAGTGTAGTATGTAGTGTATAGTGTAGTGTATAGTGGTGTATAGTAATGTATAGTGTATAGTGTAGTGTATAGTGTAGCGTATAGTGTAGTGTATAGTAGTGTATAGTATAGTGAATAGTATAGTGTCTAGTATAGTGTGTAGTGTAGTGTATAGTGGTGTATAGTGTAGTGTATAGTGTGTAGTGTAGTGTATAGTGGTGTATAGTAATGTTTACTGTATAGTGTATAGTACACTATACACTATACAGCAGGCAGCGCCACAACTGGGTGGGGGAGAATGATCGCACAAAATGGACGGATTTACCTATGGACGAACGGAGGGATGCACGACGGTTGGATGGATGGATCACCAAATTGCGCTCGCTTTGTGCCGACCAGGACTACTGCTCCACAGCCGAGGGCAACTTTCAGATCATCACCGGCAAGGACTGCAGCGCTGTGGACTCGAGCTGCTCCAAGGCGATCCGCTTCTACATCAAGGTGAAGTCAAGAGCCACTCCAGTGGCCGGCTGACCGCGCTGCGACGTGGGCTGGGTTAAACGCGACCTTTCCAAGCGCTGCGAATTGATGAGCTTGTGCGTCTCGGTGTACGTGCGAGTCGATTGGTTCCTTCGATAAGTCTATGCTGTTCTAGATTTGAAGCTTTCGTGACTGCAAGGATCCATACTCTTTGGTTCTATTCGGTAAAGTCACGTAGGTAAAAAATAAAACAACAAAAATCACGACGTTTCGGCCACAAAACAAGCGGCCTTCATCACCAGAACACAAGCGGCCTTCATCACCTGATGAAGGCCGCTTGTGTTGTGGCCGAAACGTCGTGATTTTTGTTGTTTTATTTTTTACCTACGTGACTTTACCGAATAGAACCAAAGAGTAAGTCTACGCTGGCTCTTTGTTCTTGGCATAGCAATTGAGTGTGCAAACGAGGGAGTGCAAAAGTTTGCGGTGTCCACGGGCCAGGAGAGGTCCAGGAAGTTTAGACGACAGGTTCCCTCACCCCCATCGCCAGTTTAGTTTATTCCCTGGCATCAGGGTCCATGCCGAATGTGCTTGGCCACTGGGGTCTTTCTGTCGTCTCCCTCACCTCCCTCTGTAACCCCCCCCCTCACCTCCCTCCGTCTTCTCCCTCCCTCTCTCCCTTCCTCGTCCACTACAGGATTACAACGTGGAGGTTCACATGGTGGCCGGGGAGGTGATGGTGGTGCCCGTGGCCGGAAAGATCCCGGCGATGGTGGATGACCTGAGCATCCACTCGGTGGGGCTCTACCGCATCGTGCAGACCGGCATCGGCATCATGGTCATGTGGGACCGGCGCACGAGCATCTTCGTCAAGGTCGACTCCAAGTACAAGGTCAGCGTCGCGGTGGTGGTGTTGGTGGTGATTTTGGTGGTGGTTGGTGGTGATGGTGATGGTGCTGGAGGTGGTGGTGGCGTCATGGTCACGTGGGACGAGTGCACAAGCATCTTCGTCACAGGTCGACTCCAAGTACACCGTCAGGGCCAAAGCCAAGGTGGTGCAATGTGCAGGAGATAGAAATGGATGGTGGTTGCTATGCTGCTGCTGGACGTGGCTGCCTCCCCCGCGGTGCGATCAAGCTCCGTGGAGGCAGCAGCGAGGGTTCGGCGGATCACCGCACAGATGTTGCGAATATCCCTTCCCCCAGCGTACGGCGTTGAGGAGGATCCACACCCTGGCTCGCCAGGAGTTGGCAGTGGAGCACGTGGATTAATAGCCATCTGTTTCAATCTGCATGGAGTACTGGTGTTGTTGTTGCCCTCTCGGGCACATGGGTTGTCTTTGTGTATATGTGTAAAAGCACTTAATAATAAGCTAAAAAACATTAACACATCGAGGTCCGTAGGGCTTGGGCAGCTGTTGGCACCGGGATCATTTTCCTACTCCCTTTCCCACTCTGGTGAGTCAGGCTATGACCTTCTTATCAGAAGCTCATAGCCTCAGGGAAAGTGGTTTGTCTGCCAGACTCACCAGTGCAAAACATTGAATGCAAAGCAGAGAGATTCCCTAATACCCCATGGCAGAAATTGGGCCAGACAATCACTTGTGACAAGAATAAAGGACTGAAATGTGTCAATGAGGATCAAGGAGGACTGCCATGTTACAACTACAAGGTCAGATTCTGCTGCTCCAAATCAGGTGGCCCCCCTCCACCACCCAATACTCAGGCCCCAACCAAAGGGGCCCCTGAGAAACCACCAACAGCAGCTGCTCCGGAAACAACGAAAAGGAAGCCAAAGTCCCCACCAGTGCCTAAAGAGACCACTATCAGTGAAGGTAACTATGACAATGGTAATATGAACATCAATTATGTACTAGTTAAAATAAATCACGTCAGTAACATTACCGACCTTCACCTTGTAAACATTCCACCAATCAGAAGAATTGTATCTGTATTGGCATCAAAGACAGCTTTTACTCAACAATGAAAACTGATACTTTGGGAAGTAATAATCATGTTTGGGCACTTTTTCTAATATTTGACTTATGAATATATTCGAAACACGTGAGATCAAAAATATTTAAAATTACATTAAACACGTTTTGTGACGTCACATGATAGGTTATCATCCACTTTTAAATAATGGACGTTTGAAAAGTAAACAAAATCAAGTAAAATACATTGCCCGTGTATGCAAGCTATATAGATAAACATCATGCTACAGGTATACACGTATTTAATACACACACTACACCTGGCTAATTTCCCAATTGCTGATGTTAACACAGTGCTCCAGATACTAATTTTCTGAAGTTAATGTTCCCCATTCCACTAAACAAAAATCAAACGTTGTAAAAAGGCAGCTATTTGGTCAAATGATGCAGTCATCCATTTCCATTTGTAAACCCAACATTTGGATGGGTCCACTTCAATGCAATCAATAGAAACTCAAAACTACTTACCTGTCCTAACAAACATTATTTTGAGAGATATAATATTCAGTGATGATGATGTGTATTATTTTATGCGATGCACACACCATAATTCACATATATTTTTGCAGAATGGATTGTTCCTGCAACTCGGCAACCAATTGAGGCTACAAAACCAAATGAAACACCCACCAACCAAGGTAAGGATTGGAGTGTGGTAACATAGTCTTGAGGCCTGTTTTAATGCATACCAATGGTTTCAATATTTTCCAAAATCTGTTTGAATTTCATCACCGATTAATGTTATATGTTTGCAGGAGATTGTGCTTTAGGCTGGTCTGACTGGTACGATGATCAATATCCTGATGAAGAAAATTGCGGAGATGAGGAATCCTACGAAAAGATTGTAGACTCGGGAAGAGAGGTCTGTCTGCCTCACTCATCAGTGGAAAAATTGACTGCAAAGCAGAGAAATTTCCGAATACACCATGGGAGAAATTGGGCCAAATAATTACTTGTGACCAGAGCACAGGCTTGAAATGCTCTAATGACGATCAGGACTTTTTGCCATGTTACAACTACAAGGTGAGATTCTGCTGCTCCAAATCAGGTGGCCCCCCTCCACCACCCAATACTCAGGCCCCAACCAAAGGGGCCCCTGAGAAACCAACGACAGCAGCAGCTCCAGAAACAACGAAAAGGAAACCGGAGCCCCCACCAGTGCCTGAAGAGACAACTTCAGCTAAAGATAAAGTAAGGATAGCAATCAAAGTTGAATTGAATGCTGACCAAACATTTTTCTAAAGAAATATACTTCAAAGCCTTTAGCATGAGAAAATGTTTACTTTAATCACCTTTAATAAATATATATACTTTGGTATTAATTTGAGATCTGTCTTTTTATATGCAGGCGGCAGTGTTTCAGTGACACAAGCAACGGTAATTCATGAATGTGATTGCAGTGTTAAAAGTCTAACGTCATATATTCATATATTTTTCCAAGGCCGTATCATCAGTTATAGATATGGAAATGATGGGACGTGTCTTTCATTTCGAAGAAAGAATGCATTTGACAGATTTGCTCACTGCAGACTTCCATGTTTACCGCACCTCCAACTTCCATAAATGAGCCAGAACAACCATCTACCCCAGGCTCAGGTATCATGGTGGAATTAGTTACAAAATCTCGAAAGGATAATGTTGAATTATATCATATAGTTAAAGGAACAAATGTTCTGGTTTGGCAGGGGCGAGTCCTGGTTTCAGAAAAAGTTATCCTGGTGTGCGGAAGCATTGGCAAAATTGTGATGTTTTCCTGCTTTAAAGTCTTCTGGTCGAATATTATATGTACAATTATAATTTTCTATTAATTATTTTTTATTCATTTGTACCTATCTACGTGACTTTACTGAAAGATACAAAGAATATCTAAACTACATGTTATAGACTACAAAGAGCCGAATGCCACATCCCCTTTATTGTGCTGTACGTCCATGCTCCCCCATCCCACTTTCACAAACCACATTGAAGAGCATGATGAAGCACGGTCAAATAACCCACGCAACTCAAACAGAGTGGGGAGGCTTCAATAAAGCAGTGTATTGGCAAAGAGATGTACGTTATTTTGTATTACTTTCTAGTAACCCATTCATAATGCAATATTAAAGTATCGTCTGAAGGTTGCTTACGACATTTTACGTGGTTAACCTGAGAATGGATGAGCAATCTCCATTCTGTTAACATCTATCCCTTGATTTTCTTTCAAAGTGACACCTAAACCCCCAGTTGAGAAAAAGCCAACAAAGCCAGCTCCAGAAGAGAGTGCCGCTCCTCTTCAAGAACCAACTGGATCGAAGGACAAGACACCCGCACCTCCAACCTCCGGCAACAAGGAGCCAGAACCATCACCCCCAAGTCCAGGCCCAGGTACAATGGTGAAATTAGTTGCAAAATCACATGTGCATAATATATTACATGCAATCATATGTTCAATAAAAGCAACCATATGCTCTGGTAGGGTCAGGTCATTGCCAGTTACTTAAGGCTATCCTAGGATCCTGAAGAATTGCAAAAGTGTGATTTTGTCCTGCTCTATAGTCTTCTGGTCCCATACTGGGCTCATTTTACTGGAACAGGGTGGGACTAACGGACTCTAGGCTGGATTCATAGCGGAATAGGAGTAACTTACCGAGCAGTAGATCAGCTTGTTTCAGAGTGACACTACCAGCTATGTGGGCAGTGCTGGTGATTAAGGCAGCATAACTATGTAAAAGTGGGCCATGCTAACAGACGGGGTTGGCAGCTCACTGTGCTTTAGCTTTAAACCTCGACAACATTCTGAAGCGTTTTGTACAGTTACTTTGGGATTAAGATACTCATTTTATACTTCCTGTGCGTAATGATATACAAAGTTTGTTCCATGCTCAGGTGTGTTAATGTTGCTTGTTTTTAATTAATATATCTTTATACCAGCTGTATAATATTATTGATCAAATAGCACAGAATACGCATACATTCATCAGATCTCAGAAACGAAATATGGTTGCCCTGGAAGGCAGGCATGGGTTACCACTTCTGTAACATGCGTTATATATTGCATGTTATAGGCTGCAGCGGAAAGGATAACACATTCCTTTATTTTGCTGTACTTACATTGTCGCATGTCAGTGCAATGTACATTCTGTCAAAACCCAATCCCTGGCTTTTCTTCCAAAGTGACACCGAAACCCCAGGTTGAGGAAAAGCCAACAAAGCCAGCTCCTGAAGAGAGTGGCGCTCCTCCTCAAGAACCAACTGCACCGAAGGACAAGACACCCCCACCTCCAACCTCCGGCATCAAGGAGCCAGAACCCTCACCCCCAGAAGGGACAGGTGTGTTCATTTTGTAAGATTATATATATACAGGAAGTATACTGCTTAGGATCAAATCAAACAATGTGACTTCATTTGTTAGATCTCTGAAACTAATTAAGACTTGCTCAAGGATAGGTGTTGGATAGGTGACAATCTGTGTAACAGATGTCATAGGCTGAATATTTACAATATGGACTGCACAGAGCAGAATGCCACACCTCTTTATTGTGATGTACTTCCATGCCGACCCATACCACGTTGACTAACCCGCACTGAAGAGCATGATGAAGCATCGTCAAATAACCCCCCCAAACGCAGACACCATAGGGAGGATTTAATTGAGCAGTGTATTGGCAAACAGCTATACATTATTTAGTATAACATTCAGGTAAATTATTCGTAATGCAAACTGAAAGTATTGCCTGAAGGTTGCTTACAACATTTTACGAGGTTCAACTGAAAATGCATGAGTAATCTGAATTCTGTCAACATCCATCCCTTGCCTTTTCTTTCAAAGTGACACCGAAACCCCCGGTTGAGGAAAAGCCAACAAAGCCAGCTCCAGAAGAGAGTGGCGCTGCTCCTCAAGAACCAACTAGATCGAAGGACAAGACACCCCCACCTCCAACCTCCGGCATCAAGGAGCCAGAACCATCACCCCCAAGTCCAGGCCCAGGTACAATGGTGAAATTAGTTGCAAAATCACATGTGCATAATATATTATATGCAATCATATGTTCAATGAACACAACCATATGCTCTGGTAGGGTCAGGTCATTGCCAGTTACAAAAGGCTATCCTAGGATCCTGAAGAATTGCAAAAGTGTGATTTTGTCCTGCTTTATAGTCTTCTGGTCCCATACTGGGCTCATTTTACTGGAACAGGGTGGGACTAACGGACTCTAGGCTGGATTCATAGCGGAATAGGAGTAACTTACCGAGCAGTAGATCAGCTTGTTTCAGAGTGACACTACCAGCTATGTGGGCAGTGCTGGTGATTAAGGCAGCATAACTACGTAAAAGTGGGCTGTGCTAACAGACGGGGTTGGCAGCTCACTGTGCTTTAGCTTTAAACCTCGACAACATTCTGAAGCGTTTCGTACAGTTAATTCGGGATTAAGATACTCATTTTATACTTCCTGTGCGTAATGATGTACAAAGTTTGTTCCATGCTCAGGTGTGTTAATGTTGCTTGTTTTTAATTAATATATCTTTATACCAGCTGTATAATATTATTGATAAAATAGCACAGAATACGCATACATTCATCAGATCTCAGAAATGAAATATGGTTGCCCTGGAAGGCAGGCATGGGCAACCACTTCTGTAACATGCGTTATATATTGCATGTTATAGGCTGCAGTGGAAAGGATAACACATTCCTTTATTTTGCTGTACTTACATTGTCGCATGTCAGTGCAATGTACATTCTGTCAAAACCCAATCCCTGGCTTTTCTTCCAAAGTGACACCGAAACCCCAGGTTGAGGAAAAGCCAACAAAGCCAGCTCCTGAAGAGAGTGGCGCTCCACCTCAAGAACCAACTGCACCGAAGGACAAGACACCCCCACCTCCAACCTCTGGCATCAAGGAGCCAGAACCCTCACCCCCAGAAGGGACAGGTGTGTTCATTTTGTAAGATTATATATATACAGGAAGTAAACTGCTTAGGATCAAATCAAACAACGGGACTCAATTTGTTAGATCTCAGAAACTAAATAAGACTTGCTCAAGGATAGGTGTTGGATAGGTGACAATCTGTGTAACAGATGTCGTAGGCTGAATTTTTACAATATAGACTTCACAGAGCAGAATGCCACACCTCTTAATTGTGATGTACTTCCATGCTCCCTCATCAGATGTTCACTAAACCCCACTGAAGAGCATGATGAAGGATGGTAAAATAAACCCCCCAACGCAGACACCGTGGGGAGGATTTAATTGAGCAGTGTATTGGCAAACAGCTATACATGATTTAGAATAAATTTCAAGTCAATTATTCGTAATGCAAATTGAAAGTATCGACTGAAGGTTGCTTACAACATTTTAAAAGGTTCAACTGAAAATTCATGAGCAATCTAAATTCTGTCAACATCCATCCCTTGCTTTTCTTTCAAAGTGACACCCAAACCCACGGTTGAGGAAAAGCCAACAAAGCCAGCTCCAGAAGAGATTGGCGCTCCTCCTCAAGAACCAACTGAAACGAAGGACAAGACACCCCCACCTCCAACCTCCAGCAACACGGAGCCAGAACCATCACCCCCAACTCCAGGCCCAGGTACATTATTGGAATTAGTTGCAAAATCAAATGTGGATAATATATTAAATGCAATCATATGTTCAATTCAAGCCACCATATGCTCCGGTAGGGTCAGGACATTGCCAGTTAAAAAAGTCTATCGTACAGTCCTGAAGAATTGTAAAAGTGTGATTTTGTCCTGCTTTATAGTCTTCTGGTTCCATACTTGGCTCATTTTTACTGGAACAGGGTGGGACTAATGAACTCTAGGCTGGGTTCATAGCGGAATAGGAGTAACTTACCGAGCAGTAGGCTAAGCACACCCGAGGATTGCATTTTTGTAAAAAAAAATCTTAAAATTTGGCCAACATTGGCCAAAACGGCATAGGTTAGTATGGCCATTTTCTTTTTGTGGGACATGAACATTTCATAGTTAAATGTTCCACGTTTTATCTAATACATAGCATACTAATGTAATGAGAGAGCACGCCGATATACGGAGGGCTGCATAGGCATTGCCGCATCGGTCACAGCCAATCAGCGCTACGGGTTCGATCTGGGCCAAAGTTCATGGGCGGAGCTCAGGGGCACACGCGGGACCGATCGAGAAGGTTCTGAAGGGGGCGTGGTTAGCTGCGGAGCGAAGACCCGCCTCTAACCACGCCCCCTTCAAGGAGGATATAAGGAGAGGCAGGAAGAGGACTCGGGGTCGGTGTGAAAGCCTGGGTCCGGACTGCACCTCGTCAGCCCCCGACCACGTGGCAGCCTCGAGCGAAGCTCTCCTGACTCATCTCGCTGAGACGCGTTTAAAGGCATATTTGAGGCATCTCACTTGCAACCCTAAGAAGTCCTAATTTCAAAGCAGGAGTCTCAATTCCAAATCTTGAAGTTCCGATTCCTCATCCGGGAATGTGAATACCAAGGAAGTGGTTGTGGGGCTCCCGGAAATCGAATAGGGACTCTCAAAATAATCCATATACCTTGTTAGCCGATTTAGGGTTATGGTTAACGATTAGGGTTATGGGTCAATGAGAAGTGAATTCCTCCATTGAATTTAATCTTACAATGCTGTATATAAAAGAAAAACTGGGGAATTTAACATGTCGATTTTTTCACCTGAAACTCTAATCCCTAAACCTAATCCCTAATGCTAATCCATATGCCTTTAAACGCGTCTCAGCGAGATGAGTTGAATCGTATATGGCTCGACTCTGTTGAGTAGAGTCGAAGGGCAAACACCACTTGCTTGTGTGACTTGTGGAACCGGGGCGGCATTTTGCATTGAAGTCAATGAAGGGTGTGACCGTTGCCGATTTGAAGCGCACTGTTTGGGAATGCAGTGTGTTTCACTATTTCAGCACCGACGTTCACCAAATATTCAACGGTGTAAACGTATGGGCAGTTGGGATGTCAATTCAGTAGTTTGTTACTTGAAAATCCGTGAAGAAATAAAGAATTGCGGTGCAAATCGGCCGTAGAGTTTCATTTTTTAACCGGCGCTTGACGTGTTACGTGTGCCCTCGGGTGGACAAGTGCAGTACCACAAGTACTCAATTCGTGGTTACTTCTGCTATGTGGTGGACATGTGTAGTACAGGCCAACACAGTAGGCCAATAGTTGCCGCTGTCAGGCGTCACCCGCGCATTCCCCGCAGTTGTGAGTCGCTGGAGCTGCGGCGTCCTGGCGTTAGTCTGAAGCGCGGTTGGCTGCAATGAAGATGAATCCTTGCAGTCACGAAAGCTTTAAATCGAAATTTAACCGCCTCTACGGGGAGGTTTTCCACACAACCTTAAGATCATTCAACAGACTCCGGGATAAGAAGGCTCAACTAATCGAGTCTCTCACCTTTCTGAAAAAATGCCGCGACTCTAAGGTAATACCAACCGCATTTACACTAACCTCTGCTGCTGCAACTTCTCTCAATGCAAAACGAATTCTAACTAGAACTAGCTTCGCTCTTATCTCGGAAAAAATCAGACTTACACGCACCGAACTCGATCAGTTAGACAAGACACTCTACAAATCACACTTAACATTGACAGCAACAATGTCTACATCGGATTGGGAACATGTAGACAATATGACTACCTCTTCGGCTGCCACTATGTCGACCAAATGTAGGGACAATTTGATTTCCAAATTCAATCACCTCTCCAACAAAAAATCGGATCCACACACCGAAAAGATAGACGTCAACAAAGTCGTAATTAATCGCAGTAACAGTTCCATTTCTGATGGTCTGAAATCCGTTTTAGCTAAAGGTCTAAACTTTGCTGTCACACCGAGACACATACCGGTTAATGATATCATTGCCCATGTCGACGTTGCACTCAAGGGCTTGAGTCACATCTCTGCAGACGTAGCAAGATCTGAAATCGCTGCAACCCTCAAAAACGCTAAGTTGCCACCTAGTAACATCAGCAAAGATGAACGCTTTAAATTATCTCAATTAAAAAAGAGAGATGATATTGTTGTCCTCTCAGCCGACAAGGGCAATGCCACTGTCATCATGGACAAAACAGAATATAACAACAAAATTCAAGAACTACTCAACGATGGCAGCTATACAAAAATAAAAAGAGATCCCGCCAACAGCCTGGTTACCAAAACGAACAAAATCATCTCTGATTCAACAGCATTAATTGATCAGTCCAAACAGTTCTCGTTGAAACCCTCTGCTGCCAGACCACCAAGATTATATGGCCTTCCAAAGATACACAAAGAAGATACACCACTTCGTCCCATCGTCTCTACTATCAACTCCCCCACCTATAAACTGGCACGTTTTCTTGCTGATATACTGCGACCTTTCACTGGAAAAAACACCTCTGCGGTACTAAATTCTACTCACCTGGTATCGACAATCAAAGGCATTTCCCTGTCCCCAGACGACATGCTTGTCAGTTTTGATGTGATGTCCTTGTTCACCAAAGTCCCGGTACCTGACACCATCGCTATCATTGAAGACCTGGTTCATCAAGGACTGCATACTGATGTACCCCCCTGGTGAGACATTGCTTAACCTTTCTACAAACAAACTGAGGGCACCCCAATGGGCTCCCCCCTATTTCTGGTTGTAGCCAACGTATTCATGGAAAAAATTGAAACTGACGCCATCCAGACTGCCACTCTACGCCCAACCTTATGGAAGAGGTACGTGGATGACACTTTTGTCATCTGGCCACATGGCCAGCCTGCTCTAGACCAATTCCGCGACCACATCAATTCCATACACCCAGCCATCAGGTTTACCATGGAGGTCGAAAAAGATGGCAAACTACCCTTTTTGGATGTCTTAATTAAAAGGAGACATGATGGTTCAATGAGCCACTCTGTCTACAGGAAAGCTACCCATACAGATGCTTACTTGAAACCGGATTCCCACCACCATCCATCCCAGAAGAACTCCCTCATCAAGACTCTATACCATAGAGCCCAATGCATTTCCGACCAGGAACACATTACCAGTGAACTCAAGCACGTACACCAGGCGCTCAGGGCTAATGGTTACTCCGACTACACAATCCGCAAAGCCATCACTCCAGTCATGAAGAAGGATCCTCTTGTGGAGCCACTCAAAACCATCACCTTACCCTACATTGCAGGGGTCACTAAAAATATCTCCAAAATCCTGAATAAACACAAGATCCAGGTCCGATTCAACACAGAACATAAAATCTGTGATCTGGTTCCATCTGTAAAAGATGCTGTTCCAGACATACAGTACCCGGGCGTTTACAAACTAAAGTGCTTCTGTGGTAGCAGCTACATTGGAGAAATCAAACGACATATCTCGGACCGCATCCGCGAACATAAAGCAGACTTTAAACACGATAGAACGAACTCCTCTGCCGTGGCAGATCACTGTTATAATTCAGTGGGCCCACATGACATTGACTTCTCCAAGACGGAGGTTCTTTGCAAACCAACCGGCTACCATGAGAGATTCGTTCATGAGGCCATTCACATATACAAGCACAGAGACAAATTCAACCGAAAAGATGGATTCTGGCTTAGTAACTATTGGAAAGATGTTTTAAACCATTTCCGTTCTTAATTAATTGTATTTTTACGATGACCTTCAGACCGCAGCTGTTTCGCTGGCATTGACTCTTAATACCTCTCACACCACGGTTAATGGTATGGTTTAAAACATGGAGTATAACAGCGCCTCGCAGCTGTCTCTCTCCCCCTCCTACGTTCCGACCATGGATGAACTCGTCTGTCTGAACGGGGCTCGTAGCTATCCGTGGTGCTAAAGTTGAGGGTAAGAATCCACCCATTTTTTCGCCATATAGCATTGTGATATATAACGACTTATTGTTGGTAGCTTACCTGATTGGAGAATATATAGAGTTTATTGATAACATTGAGGTAATTTATATTTTAGTTTTTTTATTGGTTTACTATGTAGTATTCATTATATAGTGTAGTATATACCCAGTTACTGTTAATAGCTCAGATGTGTAGGCTTTGACTTTAACATAGCCATTTCTTTGACCAGTCACAAGCTAATCACTCAGTTATTTCAATGCTAAATTCTCCTGTTTGATTTTTACTAGGTGCTTCTGTAGATGTGTAGGCTTTGACTTTAACATAACTATTTCTATGACCAGTCACAAGCTAATCCCTCAGTTATTTCAATGCTAAATTCTCCTGTTTGATTTGGACTAGGTGCCTCTGTGAATGTGTATGCTTTGACTTTAACATAGCCATTTCTGTGACCAGTCACAAGCTAATCACTCAGCTATTTCAATGCTAAATTCTATGCTAATTCCTTTGTCAAGGGGCGCCTCTGTGGATGTGTATGCTATGACTTTAACATAGCCATTTCTGTGACCAGTCACAAGCTAATCACTCAGCTATTTCAATGCTAAATTCTATGCTAATTCCTTTGTCAAGGGGTGCCTCTGTGGATGTGTATGCTTTGACTTTAACATAGCCATTTCTGTGACCAGTCACAAGCTAATCACTCATCTATTTCAATGCTAAATTCTATGCTAATTCCTTTGTCAAGGCGCTCTGTTTCTTCTCACACAGCTTAAAGGTCGCGGTCTGAGCTTGGCTGTGTTCGCTCCAGCGCTGCCCTCCAGACAGTCTCGTCCCATCACCTGATGAAGGCCGCTTGTGTTGTGGCCGAAACGTCGTGAGATTTTATTGTGTTATTTTATTTTATCAATTTATTATTTTATTCTCATTCTACGTGACTTTACCGAAAGAACCAAAGAAGATGCAATGAAGCCGTGAAGACACCGCACAGTGCCACTGCTGCTGTTACCGCGCCAGGCACTGCAGTTGTACCATGTGACCACACGGTGGCGATACAGCACCACGTTGGCTAAGTTATTTTAGCGAGTGTCCATGTTGGTTTGGTTATTTAGCGAGTTTCCATGTTGGTTAGGTTATTTAGCGAGTGTCCATGTTGGTTAAGTTATTTAGCGAGTTTCCATGTTGGTTAGGTTATTTAGCGAGTGTCCATATTGGTTAGGTTACTTAGCGAGTGTCCATGATGGTTAGGTTATTTAGCGAGTGTCCATGTTGATTAGGTTATTGAGTGAGCGTCCATGATGGTTAGGTTAGTTTGCGAGTTTCCATGTTGGTTAGGTTATTTAGCGAGTGTCCATGTTGGTGTGTATGTTGAACTTCTTTCACACAGTAAATAGCCAACCATGCTCATCGGAGGTGTGGGGGAAGGACAACAAACTAAGCACAAAAAACAGTTCTAAAGAAAATGTATTTTCAATCTCGATCAAAAAAAATGCGTAGCTCCATTGACTTCCTAATATCGGAAGGAAGAACATTCCAGACGCCTGCAGAAGTGCATCTGACTCGCCAAAAGCTGCTGCGAGGATGACCAGAGTTTGCGTGATGGTTTACGCTTTTTGATGATATTAGCAAGGTTTTGAGGTTCATTTGTGGCAAGCGCTTTGTATGTGTGCTGGGGAAACTGCGCGAGTGTATTGATCACACGGACAGTGTGGGGTTTATCTGGGGTCAGCCTGAGGAGACGGCGGAAACAGTGGGGTCGTGTGAGGACAGCCAGGTGAAGAGGCTGGGGTGATGAGGTACCGGTCGGGCCAATTAAGCCAGAAGGGCTGTGATTGGTTGGTGCTGTTGCTGGGGCCGAGGAGGCGTCGAGGTGTCTGGAAAAAGGCAGGTGGTTGAAGACGCGAGGCGTGCGGAGGCACGCGGACCAATTAATTAGCGATAATGAAGAATGGGGATAAATTGGGGGGAGACAGAGAGAGAGGGGGAGATTGGAGTTGGGAGATGTGCGGTGAAGACGTGGAGTTCGGAAACAGAGTTTAGAACAGAGTGGAGCATCGTGATAGCGAAGCTGAATCAAGACGAAGCAGTTAGCAGTGGAGTGAGCATAGTGATAGCGAAGGCGAAGCAAGATGAAGCAGTTAGCAGTGGAGTGCGCATAGTGATAGCGAAGCAAGACGGAGCAGTTAGCAGTGGAGTGAGCATAGTGATAGCGAAACTGAAGAAGACGGAGCAGTTAGCAGTGGAGTGAGCATAGTGATAGCGAAGGCGAAGCAAGACGAAGCAGTTAGCAGTGGAGTGAGCATAGTGATGCCGAAGCAATATGAAGCAGTTAGCAGTGGAGTGAGCATGGTGATAGCGAAGCTGAAGAAGACGGAGCAGTTAGCAGTGGAGAGAGCGTAGTAATAGAGGAGCTGGAGACGAGGCGTGCGGAGACAGAGAAGTGAGATTGGGTTTCGCTGTGTGCGACGACGCTGTATAGCGGAGGAGCTGAGGAGGACAGCCAGCAGTGGAGAGAGCGTAGGAATAGAAGAGTTGAAGACGTGTGTGTGCGGAGCAAAGCGACGTGATACTGTGAACCAAGGTGGGGAGCGAGAGGGGCGAAGCACGGCGAGCGAGCCGCGGTGTCCAGGATACGGTGGAGTGTGGGGGACGTGTTAAACGATGAAAATAAAGTGGTTGAAGAAAGACAAAAGTTGTTCGTGTAAAGTTCAACCACTACATATGTAACGAGTGCAACCTTATAATGTATGAGTTCATACTCTTTGGTTCTTTCGGTAAAGTCATGGAGATATAAACGCAATGCAAGCGTCCGTCATCAGGTGGGAAAGCATAGTCTGCTGCTGAGGCAGACTGTTTTAAAAGTATGGATTTCTGCAGTCACGAAAGCTTCAAATCATGTATGAGTTCGGCAACAGGAAGCCAATGCAGTTCAGTGAGCACTGGACAAACATGGTCGGATTTTGCAGTACTCGTCATGACGCCTGCCATAGCATTTTGTACACGCTGCAGCTTAGTAATGTTTTCGCCAGATGTGCCGGAGAGTAGTGAGTTGGAATAATCGAGCCTTTTTTCTAACCTTAACTCCTAACCCTAACTCTAACCCCTAGCCCTAAACCCCAACCCTAACTCTAACCCATAACACTAACCTTATCAGCCTGGCACAGTAGGGGGTACAGCTGGTGGTGCATCTACCAGTGATCTCAGTCAGCATACCCATGGCACCTGCTGGGTCTGTCCCGAGACCTCCTGCCAGCAGCGAGCCTTCGACACTTCACGTGGTAGCCTCAAAGTGCACCTAGCCTGGCACAGGTGCCGTGGTGACATCGCCGTCACTTAGTGGCGAATGGCGAGTATTGGTATTCGTGGTCGTGGTGGTGGTGGTCGTGGTTGTTGTTAGTGATGGAGAGGAATTTACTTTTTCTTGGAGAATGTAGCTATGAAAATTTGTCTCATTTTGGCAAAAAACTGCATAGGAGCCCCTAACCCTTAACCCTAATCCAGAACCCTGACACTAACCCCTAACCCCTAAACCATAAACCCTAACCTGTAACCCTATCCCCTAACCAAAACCCTAACCCCTAACCCCCTAATCCTAACCCATAACCCTAACCCCTAACTCTAATCCCTAAACCTAATCCCTAATGCTAATCCATATGCCTTTAAACGCGTCTCAGCGAGATGAGTTGAATCGTATATGGCTCGACTCTGTTGAGTAGAGTCGAAGGGCAAACACCACTTGCTTGTGTGACTTGTGGAACCGGGGCGGCATTTTGCATTGAAGTCAATGAAGGGTGTGACCGTTGCCGATTTGGTGGTGGTCGTGGTTGTTGTTGTTAGTGATGGTGGTGATGGTGGTCGTGGTTGTTGTTGTTGGTGATGGTGGTCGTGGTTGTTGGTGGTAATGGTGGTGATGGTGGTGGTGATGGTGGTCGTGGTTGTTGGTGGTAATGGTGCTGATGGTGGTGGTGATGGTGGTCGTGGTTGTTGGTGGTGATGGTGGTGATGGTGGTCGTGGTTGTTTGTGGTGGTGATGGTGGTCGTGGTTGTTGGTGGTGATGGTGGTGGTGGTGGTAGTCGTGGTTGTTTGTGGTGATGGTGATGGTGGTGATGGTGGTCGTGGTTGTTGGTGGTGATGGTGGTGATGGTGGTCGTGGTTGTTGGTGGTAATGGTGGTGATGGTGGTGGTGATGGTGGTCGTGGTTGTTGGTGGTGATGGTGATGATGGTGGTCGTGGTTGTTTGTGGTGATGATGGTGGTCGTGGTTGTTGGTGATGATGGTGGTGATGGTGATCGTGGTTGTTGGTGGTGATGGTGGTCGTGGTTGTTGGTGGTGATGGTGGTGGTGATGGTGCTCGTGGTTGTTGGTGGTGATGGTGATGGTGGTCGTGGTTGTTGTTGTTGTTGTTGGTGATGGTGGTCGTGGTTGTTGGTGGTAATGGTGGTGATGGTGGTGGTGATGGTGGTCGTGGTTGTTGGTGGTGATGGTGGTGATGGTGGTCGTGGTTGTTTGTGGTGATGATGGTGATTGTGGTCGTGGTTGTTGGTGGTGATGGTGGTCGTGGTTGTTGGTGGTGATGGTGGTGATGGTGGTGGTGGTGATGGTGGTCGTGGTTGTTGGTGGTGATGGTGATGGTGGTCGTGGTTGTTGGTGGTGATGGTGGTGATGGTGGTCGTGGTTGTTGGTGGTGATGGTGGTGGTGATGGTGGTCGTGGTTGTTGGTGGTGATGGTGGTGGTGAATGGTGGTCGTGGTTGTTGGTGGTGATGGTGGTGGTGGTTGCTTTTTTTTGGTGGTCGTGATGGTGGCGATGTTATTGTTGATGTTGGTGGCGAAGTTGATGTTTTTGTGGATGTTGATGGTGTTATCGTTATTGGCGGTGGTGATGTTAATGTTGATGTAGCGTGCAGATGGAGCTCATTGAGGGCTACATCACCGCACAGCTGAGCGCGCGATTGCCCGGGTTCAGCATGGCCACCTTCATCCAGTCTCCACCGTGAGTTCACACGTCAACATCATCAGCAACATTATTGACAGTATCAACATTACCAATAACTTTACAAACTTCAATAACATACATCGTGAATAACATCACCATCAACAGCATGAACAACGTGAATAACATGAAACACATCATCAACAGCATTATCCAAAACATCATCATCATCAACAACATTTTCTTTGGTTCTTTCGGTAAAGTCACGTAGAATGAGAATAAAATAATAAAATAACACGATAAAATTCTCACGACGTTTCAGCCACAACGCAAGCGGCCATCTTCAGGTGGAAGGTACAGACCTGTCGGGACGACAGAGCTTCAGTTCTGTACCTTTCACCTGAAGACGGCCGCTTGCGTTGTGGCCGAAACATCGTGAGAATTTTATTGTGTTATTTTATTATTTTATTCTCATTCTACATGACTTTACCGAAATAACCAAAGAAGATGAATCCTTGCAGTCACGAAAGCTTCAAATCGAAAATCAACAACATTGTCAGCAACATTATCAATAACATCATCATCAATAACAACATTAAAAACATCATCAATACCATTATAAATATCAGCAACATCATTATCATCAACAACATTGTCAATAACATCAACATCATCGACAACAACAACGTCCGTGATGTAGCTCGGAGGTGATGACGGTGGTGCTAATGGTGATCGTGGTGATTGTGGTGATGGCGGTGGTGCTGGTGATGGTGGTGCTGGTGGTGATGGTGGTGGTGATGTTGATGTTTTGTGGATGTTGATGGTGTTATTGTTGATGTTGCGAACCGAGTCAGCTCATTGGGCTACCCTGGCACGGTAGTGGTGGTGTTGTTTCACGGGCCATACCCGAAACGAGCCAGCTTATGGGGTCCCCTGGCACGGTACGGGTGGTGTTTTTCCACTGGCCACACCCGAACCGAGGCACCTCATGGGGTCCCCTGACACGGTACGGGTGGTATTTTTCCACTGCCCATACCCGAACTGAGCCAGCTCATAGGGGCTACCCTGGCATGGCACAGGTCGAGTTTTCCTCTGGCCACACCCGAACCAAGCCAGCTGGTATGGTCTCTGGCATGGCATAAGTGGTATTTTTCCATTGGCAACACCTGAGACGAGCCAGCGCACCAGGCCTACTTACTGGCACAGTACGGGCGTTTTTTTTTTCCAACCAACGTGGATTGTTTGCTGAGCCAAGCTTGAACCAAACCATTGTCGATTCTCTACTGCTCCTACTGCCGGTTTCGTAAGACGATGACGACGACGTCTGAGTCTTGACTCAGGCGGCGGGGGGCCAAGCAGGGCCAGGGGCGCGGGAGGGGGCAAGCAGGGCCTGGGGCGCGGGGGGCCAAGCAGGGCCAGCGGCAGGGAGATGAGGGCGGCGCTCACTTCGCTGCGATGTTGCTACGCCCGGGCCGGCTCGGCACGCCTCGGATGTGCAGTTGGTTAAGAGAGGAATATTGGTGTGTGTGTGCGCGTGGTTACCGCTTTGACCACTGTTGTGTCAGCTACCACTGTTGAGAGTCCACGTGTCGTGGCGGCGGTGTTAGCTGCGACTTCGCGAAAAAACAATAAAAGCGTTTTTTGTAACACGTGGATGAGCGTTGAGTAAACGGTGGCGTCCGTTGGGATTCTCTGGATAGATGATTTCTGCTGCTGCTTCACAGCCACCAGCGGCATCGTCTCCAATATCACCAGCAGCACCAGGAGGTTTACCGGCATCAGCACTAGTAGCATCACAATCAATATCAGCATTATCAGCACCAGCAGCATCATCACCAGCATCATCATTAACACCACCATCAGTGTAATGTATTACATTATTTGAACTCTTTTTATTTTACCAGGTAAAGCCCACTGAGCTACGTTGCTAATTTGTAAAAAAATCAGCAGCCAACTACTCTATGAACGTGCGATGTTGATTCTAAATGTGGAGGGGAAAACCCCGGAGGGCCCAGAGAAAAATCTGCGTGACCACGGGGGGAGAGAGACGCAAACTCCAAATGTACAGCAGGCGAGATCACACACACAGCGGCAGCAGTCATCACCCCCTGCCTACTGGCAGCAGACTGATGCACAGGGACGGCTGCCACTAGGCTACACCACACAGCAGCAATCAATGCTCCCTACTGGCTTCTCTTTTTCAGTGAGGCTGCTGATGCAGGTGCAGAGACAACGACTACGATGTCACATCATCATCGCTGTGATGTCTCTGGGTCTATGAGTCTATGGATCCCTATGGATCTCTATGAGTCTATCAATCTCTATGGGTCTCTATGAGTCTATAGTTCTCTACGGGTCTCTATGAGTCTATGGATATCTACGGGTCTCTATGAGTCTATGGTTCTCTATGGGTCTCTATGAGTCCATGGATCTATATGGGTCTCTATGAGTCTATGGTTCTCTATGGGTCTCTATTAGTCCCTTCGTCCGCATGGCTGATGTAAATGCAGACAAAGACTGTAATCTCGCATTCAGCGCGTCAGAAGCCGCAGTGCAGTGGTGCATCATCACCATCACCACCATCATCACCATCATCACCACCACCACCACCATCATCGCCTTCACAAGGGGGCGCCACGGTGGCTAGGAGATGTTGACTACCTCGCCTGGTATACAGGAGGACGTGGGTTCGATCCCGACCCTGACTATGCCTGCTGCTGTATATCTGAAGTCTGTGTCTCTCTCTCTACCCGTGGATTTTTATCCGGGTCCTCCGGGGTTGAAAATAAAGCTGTGCAAATGTGGCTTATTTTGGCTAAAAACGGCATCGGTTAGGATGTCAATTTTTTTTTACTTGAACATTTCATCGTGAAATGTCCCATTTTTTATCTATATATATCATACTAACCCAAAGCCTATCCATAATCCCTAAACCCTCACCCTAATCTAACACTAACCCGAATCCCTAACCCTAAACCATAACCCAAATCCAACCCTAACCCCTAACCGCTAACCCTAACTACCCTAGCCATAACTGTAACCCGAACCCCTAACTCTAACCCCTAACCTCTAACCCTAACCCCTAACCCTTAATGTTTTTTGGGGTTTTTTCGTTATTTTGTAGTTTTCGGGTGTTTTCTTGTGTATTTAGTGTTATTTGCGTTTTTTTCTGTTTTTGGCGGTTTTGGGTTTTTCATCGGTTTTTCGTGTTTTGTGGGTATTTTTTCAGGTTTTTGGTTATTTTCTTCTGTTTTTAGTGTTTTTTGGGGGTTTTTCGTTTTTTGGGTGTTTTTGAGTTTTTTGGTGTTTTTTTGTTTTTTTTTTCATTTTTTTGTACTTTTTTCGGTTTTTAATGTTTTGGGGTTTTTTTCGGTTTTTAGTGGTTTTCGGGTGTTTTCTTCTGTTTTTAGTGTTTTTATTTTTTTCGGTTTTTGGGGGTTTTTTTCGTTTCTTGGTGTTTTTGGAGGTTTTTTTTGTGTTTTGTATTTTTTCTGTAGTTAGTGTTATTTACGTATTTTTTTAGTTTTCTTGGTGTTTTTTGTATTTTTTTCTTTTTTTTTTATGTTTTCATTCGTTTTTTAAATGTTTTTTGGGGGGTTTTTCGGTTTTTAGTGGTCTTCCGGTTTTTTCTTTTGTGCTTTTTTGCGGTTTTTTGTGGTATTTTTCATCTTTTTGTGTTTCTTGGGTATTTTTTCTATTTTCAGTGTTTTTTGGGGGGTTTCTTCTGTTTTTAGTGTTTTTTGGGGTTTTGGGGTTTTTTGTGTTTTTTTGGTTTTTGGTCTCTTTTGAGTTTTTTTTTTCCATTTTTTTGTGTTTCTTGTGCTTTATTTCGGTGTTTAATGTTTTTGCGTTTTTTCGGTGTTTGGTGGTTTTTTGGTTATGTTTTCAGATTTTTGTGTTTTTTGGGTATTTTCTTCTGTTTTTAGTGTTATTAGCAAAACAAAAACCGAAAAAAATACAAAAACAAAACAAACCTCCAAAAACACCAAAAAACTAAAAAAGAAAAAACTAAAAACAGAAGAAAATACCCAAAAACCACAAAAAGCTGAAAAAAATACAAGAAAAAACACCAAATAACGAAATAAACCCCAAAAACAATTTAAAAACCAAAACCACTAAAAACAGAAAAAAATACCCGAAATCCACTAAAAACCGAAAAAACTTAAAACATCAAAAACCGAAAAAAACACCAAAAACTCAAAAAAACGCAAATAACACTAAAACAGAAGAAAACACCCGAAAATCACTAAAAAACTAAAAACATTAAAAACTGAAAAAATTAAAACCCAAAGAAAATAAAAAAAACCAACAAAAACTAAAAAAATACAAAACCACGTAAAAAAAACAGAAGAAAACACCCAAAAAACACCAAAAGCTGAAGCAAAATACAGTAAAAACCGAAAAAATACCCAAAAAAACACTAACAACCGAAAAAACCAAATGCCGTAAAAAACACAAGAAACGCAAAATAATTAAAAACACTAAAAACCGAAAAAAATATCCAAAAACCACCAATACTGAAAAAAAACTAAATCCACTAAAAACCGGAAATAAATACCCAAAAAACATGAAAAAACGAAAAAAACACTAAAAAAGGACAAAAACACCAAAAAACTTTAAAAAACCCCAAAACTACTAAAAACCAAAGCATATACCTAAAAAACACTAAAAATCGAAAAAAACGTAAGAACCCCAAGAAAACACCATGCGGTGATAAAAGCTCATTAACTTTGACATGCTATTCTTTCTCCCTAATCTCTCTCTCCATATTCTCTCTCTCTTTTATGATTCGCCACTGTTTTGTTTATATTACATTTCACGACTTTCCTAAGCCAAGCTTGTGAATCATTAACCTCCAGATGTATTTTATGTGGGCGAGGCAGAGGGGGGGGGGGTTCCTTTTGGCATTTTGTTGTCTCAAGGGAGGAGATGTCTCGCTAAATTCAGATCTATAACTTTTTACATTAAAAATAGGAAATATCGCTCTTAATATAAGTTTTCGGAAAAGGCATATATTCAACAGTGTATCGTAGAGTGTAGTGAATGGTGTAGTGTATGCA